TGTGGCCAGCCGTGCAGCCCTGCAGCCTGGGCAGCGCCGGGTCAGAGCTGGGCTGGGAGGTGACAGCAAGAGGGGTCCCAGCACCTGGGGACAACTCTCAGCCCCACTGTGGGTCCCTCTCAGGGAAAGGGTGCCTGCCTGACCCCTATCCTTGATCACTTCCAGAGCTGAAGATCCCCGACAATGCCAACGTCTTCTACGCCATGAACTCCGCTGCCAACTATGACTTTGTGCTCAAGAAGCGGGGCTTCTCCAAAGGGGTGAAGATTAAGCACGGCTCCAGCTCCACCCTGCCCAGGATGAAGCAGAAAGGCCTGAAGATCGCCAAAGGCATCTTCTAGCCTCAGCCCCACTGCCACCCATCACCGACGGGGCCTTGGGGGCAGGCTGCTCTGGGCTTGGCTGCGACCGGTCCTTGTGCCGCCCAGCACGGTGAGAGGAGCGACCCTTGCCCGTGGGGGGCAGCCGTGCCTCTCCCTCCTGCGCCAACAGCCACGGCACTTCGGCAACCCATGCCAGCCTCCGCCTCTCTCTGCACAAGCCCCCGTTTCAGTCAGGTCTTTTTTTTCTACACAGGAAGGCAGCGGGAGGGGATATCTTTTTTTTTTTAAAACCTTCCACGGTGCGACACTAGTCCAGCCGCCAGCCAGCCCACAGCTGGAGCCCGCCTCTGCCGTAGGTGCCTTGTGTCCGAGCGAGCCGGGGAGCGGTGACTCGCAGAGGGGCCATTTGCAAGAAGCAGAGCATGAGCCGTCACCCCGGAGCTGCAGAACCTCCCACGTGGTGGGGTGCTCTCCTTCCCGGCTTTCCTGGTGTTATTTTTACCTCTGTGTCCTTCCTCCCTGGGATAACTGGCATCGCCACCGCCAGCATCTCTGCCTGCCCTTCCTTTGGGAGAAGCCACGGATGCTCCGCGCTGGGAAGCGAGCTGGAAGGGATGCAGCCCCACACTTGTGCTCAGAGCCCCATGGAGGAGGGCTGTGTCTGTGCTGTGATGGAGCAGGCACCTTCTGCTCTCAGCAACTGGAAGCCTGCCTGGTCTTGCTCCTCTCCCCCATCCAGCGCATCCTCCAGCTGGACTCTGATGGCCCATGTTCAAACTTGCACCAAAGATCAAACGCCAGTGTCTCTTGTATCGTCGGGGGAAGCTTTGGGCCATGCCCCCAGTGCTGCCAGCCTAATGAGGAGGAGGAGGAGAGCAAATTTCTGTCTGAACTTGTGTAAATAAGGACCTTGGGTCTGTGCAGGCAGGTGAGAAGCCAGAGAGCTCCGGGTGCTGCCCTGGCTCCCACCGCATGACCCACAGAAAGTGCCACTCACCTTGGGCTTTAACCGGACTTTTTCAAACAGTGACCACGGGAGAAGCAGCAATGGGACTTTTTTTTGTACAAAACAAAAAAGTTTACTGTTTTTTTTTTCCTTCAGTATTTATTGGTTGTAAATAGAAGAGACAAACTTGTACATTTTACTAATCCAGCCTCCCCCTGCCCTGCAGCCCAGTCCCTCTCCTCTCCGCACCCTGGTATTTAAGGCTGCTGGGAGAGTTGTTGGCAGCAGCAGCAGCATCGCTCTGCTGTGTTTGTGGGGCACAGACCCCGCCAGCCACCCCTTCCCTCATTTCTCTACTAGTTGCTTGAACAGGGGCAGAGATGCTTGTTTTAATCATTGCAGGAAACACTAACTGAAAGGGACCTTGTTTTTTTGGCTCCTGGCTTCATCCCTTGGTTTTTTTAAGCACTTCCTTCTGGCCTGTCTTTTCCGTTCCCCATGTGTCCGTGCTGCCGGGTGGGTGCAGCACCTTCCCTGCTCCAAGGTGGGAAAGAGGCTGCTTGGGTGTGAGCGTGGCCGGCACTGAGCCCTCCCAGCCCCGTGTCCCCTCAGGTGGCATCACCCCTCGCTGCACATGATGGGAGCCGTGGGCTCCCTGACGCAGTAGCAGCCTCCTGCCTCCCACCCTGCTCAAAGCCCCTGCCCCTCAACACCAGCGTCCTTCCCTCTGCCAGCTCCTGCCCACCCTGGGCCCCACAGTCCTCCTCCCCTCCGACCGGTGTCCCCCAGCAGCCCAGCGTTACCGGAGGGACTGGCTGTACCATATGTATTTTGTACTTCAATGAAGGAGCACACTGCCCGGTGTGACTTGTACACAGCAATGTAATTAGTCTTTGCAATAAAATACTGATGCTCAAATGTCTCTGCCCCAAGCCAGGGGTTGTCCTGTCCTTCCTCAAAATGCCAGCCTGTTCCTGGAGAAAGAGAGGACCTGACCACAGAGGAGGTGGCACTTGCGCCTTACGTTCCCTGCCGAGGTAAGCTTTGTTTTGTGTTTGAACTAAGATACGGGCTTTGTGTGTGAGGAGCAGCACTGGATTTTCAAATTAACGCTGTTCATTTGAACCTACAAGTTGTTGGGACTGTTGTGTTTTCCAGTTGCATAAATGTGACATCCAGTTGTTTGACCCTTTTTGGTGTAAGCCCCCAGCCTAGTACCTGGCACTTGTAACACTGGGGAATGCACGAGACTCAGGAAATGCCAGCAGATCCTTTGTTGGTAACAAACCAACTGGTGATGGCAGACCGAGTGCCTGAAGCTCTGCACCAGTGCCTGCTTCCTCCAGTCCTTCCTAACTACTAGGGAAGTCAAAACAGAATTATTAAGTGCATCAGCTAGTGAGGACAATGTACCCTGCAGAGGGCAATTACTCACTGCCAAAAAAGTGTGATTTCTGGCTGGCTTTATTTCCAAGATGACCAGTGAGGCTCGATGCTGAAGTCGCAGCACAGTATGTTCCTTCCCCTTAGACGAGAAGAAGGGGAGCACCTGCCTTAGGGACTGCAGGAGCGCCAGAGGGCTTCCCGCAGCACCTCCTCACGCAGCTTTTTCTATCTTTCATGTGGCCACCAACTCAGCCAAGGTGTACTGCCCACCCATGGAGAGATTTGGGAATGCAACTTCCCCTCTTTTCGGGTGTTCTGCCAGCTGGTTTGGATTCTGGGCTCGCTCTTGAGAGTTTGTTGAGGTTGCTTGAGGGCGTATTAGCCAGCAATTATAAAAAAATGCCAGGCAGTGGTTCCCTAACATCAGGAATGACAGCCATCAGCAGTGCAGACAGGTTGTCAGCATCTTAGTACAAGTTCTGGTTTCCCACATCCTGGGCATGGTGGCTGCACCTTCAGCACTCAAGAAACCAGAGCAGAGATGATTCTGTCCAGCAGCAGCCAGACTGCTCACTGAATTCACACATAGTCCAGAATTTCTGTCTCCATTTCATTTTCACTCCCATCAGAAGGCTTGAAGTCCTCTTCCTCCTCCTCTTCATCATCCTCATCCTCTCCGGATTCGTATGCCAGCTGCTCTTTGCCATCTTCACTGCTTGTTGTATTTGAGAAAAGAGCTTAATTGGGAAGACAGAGAGACAGGCACTGATGTATCTCTTGGTGAAACCTGGGGGCATTTGCAGCCGTTCATAAACTGTGAGAGGATGGCAGAAGCCGCAGGGGCACAGCTGATGTTTCACATCAACAGAATTTGATCAAGCCCAAACCACTCTGTTCTCATGCTCCAGGACCGCTAGCAGAACAGCAGCAGATCTGTGGTGCTGTACCTCCTCTATTCACTCGCTGGGATACTTTGGCTCAGCATCATGCAAAAAAAGACTTCTCACATCTTGTTCAATTAATAACATCAGTAGAAAGTAAAATGCCACCAACAGATCCATCAGTAAGAATTAAGATCTTGATTATCGATGTGCAAAGATATTTAAAACCTGAAGGCTCTGATACTGGGAAGACAGGAACAAAGAACCTTGACTTTCAGCCATTCCTAATCTCAACCTACATTCATGCTGCAGCACAGCAGCCTCAGCTCTCACACTCTAATGGCCTAGAACACAAAGAACACCAGATACAGGACAAAGGAGGAAGCAAATACAGGAACCCTACTCTCCCAGTGCTGACTGCATCATCTTTACTTAGCCCACACTGTCTCAGCACCATCAGGAAGGTGGCAGTACACTGCAGTAGTAGGCAGAGAGGTGGCAACACACTGTGATGTTCAGAAGCATCCTTACCAGGTCTTGTGGATCTGATTATCTGTTTTATCATCAGAGACATGGTATCTCGCAGATCATCGCTGGTCTTTGGAAGGCACCACCCATCCCTTTCTGTGCACTCTGACTCCTTGCCGTCATTCCGACGGATGATTTTCTGCAGGCTAAAAAGCACCAAAAGAGAAGGAAACGTTATTCTTTTACATTCAGAGGTAGACTATGGCTTACTTCGTTGATCTGGAATATCACATTAGTTATTTAGGTAATTAGTTATTTAGGTCATACGAGAAAAGACAGTCACATGTGAAAAGTCTGTTCTATTCTTATCCAGAAGGTAGACACCTCAAGTTTATGCTCACGAAGAGAGACTGGAAGAGACTGGATATAAACAATAGGCTTTGAAATCCTGCTCTAACAGAAGACTTCGCTGCCAGCGTGCAGTACCTTTCCACATTCAAGTCGCACAGCTGGTAGAACATCTGCCGGTAAGGGGGTAAGGCTCCTTCTCGGAAAATGTAGATGGATTCCTAAGATGAGGAAAGAAGGAAAGGATTTGTGTGCATTTTATGGAGTAACAGGACAGCCCTGACATAACTAAAAAGTACTTCTCGTGGGCTGATTCAAGAACAAGGCATTTCCAGCACAAGTCAGTTCCAAGGCACGGGGCCTCCTACGGCAAAAGATAAAGCTGAGTGAGGAACGCAGTGAAATTTCCCTGCAGCCAGAGTCAGAATAGCACAGCTGTGCAGAGAACACGACTCATCTCTCCAATCTGCAGCTCCCTCTGCAGCCTGTTACTGCTTAACAGTGGATCATAGGTTTCATTATAGCAAAGAGAGAAGAATTAAAAGACTCCTGTTCAAATATTTATTTTGCTCTACTGGACTTTGCAGGACACCCTGATAAACACATGGTGACTTTTTTGCACTTCACTGCCCACAAAGTTCCAATTTTATCAATTGAAACAAAATGCTCATCACATCTAAAACTAAGGCAAAGAGTACTGATCCTACCTTGCAGGACAGAAGAAATACATTCAGCACATGGCAGATGATGCTCTGTAGTGACCCGTACAACCACCAGCTTCCCAGGTAAACACGAGGACATCAGCTCACTCACAACTGCCCGCTAATGACTGACAAAACAGGAAAACTCCCTTTTTCACTAAGCTATTTCAAGATTCTGGTACGAGACAGTAATGCTTACCTTCAGTTTATATCTGCTAGAAGCTGGCTTTTTTGCACCAGATGCACCAGATGTACCAAGCCCCTGTTTTAGATCGTGTACACTGACTGTATGATTTACTGAAAAACAAAACAACAAAAAAAGAGTTCTGAGGGACATCTTTGTGACTTTGTGCTATCAGTTCTCTATGTTGATTCAGCTTTGCTGGTCAGCAAAAACCAGACCAATCTAGCAAGTCAGCACTCATGTTCCAGCAGGAGATTCTTCTACTGGCTTAACAGCAGCACTATATTAAAAGCAGAAATAAAGCTCCAATTTTGGCTCCGCTACAGCACAGGAAGACCCTTCATCTGTGACCAGGATGGGGTAAACAAGGAAAGAGAAGAGACAGCAGCCCTTCTGCTGGCACAGCATACCTTGCTTCTTGACAGTGATGGGCAGACTGTAGTTGTACGTGCTGCGCTTTGCTTTCACAGGCATATCATTAGCGGCGTAACCTAGAGGTGAAAAAAGAAAACCAATAACGAACGGAGGGCCAGCACGCTGCAGAGTATCCCTAGCTTGGTAACACAAGTGCTGGACTGGTGTCTGAAAGGCTGGCTGATCCCTGGGGTAGGGTGAGTTTAGCAAGGTGGGGAGAAGAAAATTCTCATCTCAACAAACCCCTTTAATGTGGACAGAGAGCGAGATGTGATCGGATGGGAATGGCTGGGTGCCAGCTCGGTCATGGACTTATTACATGATCTCAGAAAATCCTTTCCCTCAACTTGCAGAATCAGAGCAGGGGAACCGTGTGTCCCAAGGTCCTGAGACCAAATGTCCCGCAGAGGATGTTGAAGTCCTTGAGGAAAAGCTACTGTGTAAGCAGCAGAATCTACCGCTCTGTGCCTCCCCTGAGCGAGAGGGAGGATGGTTTGCTACGTCTCCTTGGGCTTCGAACACATGGGGGAGGAAAGTCAGCCAGCTGTGTACTGAGTTTGGAACCTGCCAAATGAGGAAAGGCATCTTGCGTACTATAAAGTAGTAAAACCTTTACAGAAGAACTACAGTAAGCAATGAGCTCAAAAGGTGTCATCTTCCCCAGAGCAGAAATATGGCAAAAGAGTTTGAAAACAACTGAAAAGAAGAGTACTACCAGGATTAACCAGAGAGCAGAGAGCACGTCTCTGTGGGTTGGGCCGTTTTACCATATTTCATTCCATAGCGAATTCGGAAGTCCAGTACTTGATAAATCTTTGCTTCAGGATGTTTTCTGGGGTCATACCCAAACCTAACCCATAAGCTTCTCCAAGGACCTGTTAACTGCATAAAACACACATGGAGGAAGACAGTTACCAAAAAACCCCAAAGAGTACAGCGTTGCAGTTTCTTAGAAAATTCTATTTCTCCTCATCGCCCAAAGATTATTTCTTTTACCTGCTCTTTCCTCATTTGCCATGCCAGTATTTATATACCAAAAGGCAATCAATGCATCAAAGCACAAATATTTGTGTGCTTTTACAATCTAACTTGCAAGGTCATAATAAACTGTTTGGAAAAATTCTGCTACCGTTGCCAGCTGGACAGTCAATTTGAGTGTCTGAGTGAACTGCAAAGCCAACGGAGCAAAGAGTTATTGAATCCTCCATGGCTTTAACTTCTGTTCACATGCAAGGCTTACCTTCCCTCTATCTCTTTACATAACATTAAGCTCAGGCACTTAGTGGTAGGACCTCAGAAATGGTTGAGGACCAGGAACAGCTGGCAGATGCTCCCTTGCTCTGCCTCCCAGCAGCCTCAGAGAGGCCCGAGGGCAGATGCACACACTCACCATGTAATAGGCCAAATACGGCAACAGAAGTTTGAGCTTGTCTGGGTGGATACTTATGTTGGCTTTTACTGCATTCCGAGACCAGACAGGACGGGCTTCAAAGAGCTAAAATAATAACAGAAACAACCATGAAATAGTGGAAAGGGGGTTACTAGTGGCAGTTCAGCTTTCCAAGTAGACTTTCTTGTATACTGGGGCCTGTGGCCCTTAGTATGAGCTATCAGAATGGTATGGTAAGAACGAGCGGCACAAAAAGGAACATTGCTGGCTGCAAAGACAGATTCAAATCAGCCAGTTACAATCACCAAGAATATTTAGGGAAGTAGAAGAAAATAGCTGTGTGCAGTGTTTCTCCTGCACAGCATGCTGCAGTGTAGTGCTCAGCTCAGGAATAAGACACATACCTTTCTCAGCTCTTCTTCCACCTTTTTATCCACAGTATTGGTGCACACTTTCTTCCAGGTCTGTACAGCAGCATCCAGTGGTTTAGTTGGGATTTCTTCATCATCAAAGTTCACAAAGATGGCGTTGTGTGGGCGCCGGGCCCTGCTGAGGCCAATCAGGTTCTCACCAGACACCTGGGGATTGTTGTATCCCTCCCTAAGAAAGAGGGACAGGATCAGGTTTCCTTTCTGCCTGTGGCATACACGGACCTGAGGCCTTCACAGGAACATTTGAAAATGGAAGTTTGTGCCTCAGATTTCAGAAGAAAAGGGACTCAGCCAATAGTTTAACTTTGGCCCCAACTCCCTACCATGTACTGGTCAACATGAAAGCACTGAGCTTTCTCATGACAGCACTGAGCTAAGAAAATTTAAATTTCAAAATATATAGTGCAGGGGACCTCTGTCATTCCACAACTATCTGACAGAAAATCCTCAGGCACTTATCTAATAATCTATGAAATGCATCTGTGGCACAAAGGGCTTCACCCTCAGCATTTGCTCTGCTGTCCTTACGCAGCTCAGTGGGGTACAGGGGCAAGGCGAGATGGAAATGCACTTAAGATAATTTTTCTTTTTTTGAAGTGCCGGCGAAGGACTACGCTGAGAAAACGAAAGATGTTTTGTGTGGGAGATCTCACAGATTGTTCTTCTGGCAAAACCAACCAGGGCCAGGAGGGAACAGGTCTGGTAAGTGCAGTCACAGCACACGGCACCGACTCCTGCACGCTCTCCCCTCGGCTCCAGCCCACCAGAAGGAGGCAGAAAGCCAGAAAGCCAGGCTCACCTCACCCCTCGCTGCATGTAGTGTGCCAGGGGAGGCCATCATCTCCACCAGATCACCAGGTCCCTGCACCTCAGATGGACTTTTGCTGAGGTTTCTGCTGTTTAGGCAGTTTCTCAAACGTGCTGCCTCCATTGTGCCAAATCAAGAGGGATAAAAGAGAAGAGGGCAGCAGCTGAAGCGGGTGATATACCTGAACAATGCATTTAGTGCTGCTCTGATCCTTCAAGAGCACCGATCCCGTAACAACATTGAAGCCAGAATGGATTGAAGGCATCTTCAAGTGATGAAAAAGGCAATATTAACTTGAAGACTTGTGTTACCTGTCCATTCCAGAACCCACACAGCTACTCACTGCATTATGAGAGAAGAAGGCACTAACCGGTGCTGTATATCTGGCCGATAAAAATAGTCAACAGGAGTGTCCAGACGTGAGAAGATTGGTGGTGGGATGTAGAGAGGTAACTCTCTATTGAAAAATTCTTCCTTCTCTGGTTTGAGCATTAGGACTTTGTCGTACATGGAGGTTTGTTTGCCATCAGGACCAGAGTGCATTGCCAGGTACTGGAAATCAGACATTCCTGTGAGAAACAAAAGTTAAAAACATTGTGAAGTTTGTTGTGAATATCACAATAATTCTTACCACACTCAACTTTTAGGAATAGGAGTCTGGTAAGTTTATGCAAAGGGTTATACAGCAAGGAGACTTGATTGTCTTTCCAGTCCTAAATTCTTAGAAGGAAACACGTTCCTTTCCCATCAGCCATACTCATCTTTAAGCCATGTGGACAGAAATCCACGTATTACCTTGAAATTTGTAAACAGTGGTGACAGTCCCAAGAATTTCCATCTCAAACTGCACTTCTGGCTGGATTTGTTCTTCACTGTCCAACTGCTTCTTCCTCTTGGTCCTCCTCTTCACCTTGAGCAGCATGGTGGAGGTGGGGAAGCGATTGGCACATACGGGATGGCAGTAAGGGTCCTTGGGGCGGAAATACAGCTCCAACCTTTTGGCAGGGTCCGCATAGATCTGTCAGCGAGGGCAGAGACAGTCTCCTTCAGCATCGTGCCCACCTGCCCATCTCCCCCGGACTCTGGTGCCAGCCCCACAACCTCAACCGTGGGCACCCACTGACTCCCCTCACGCCACCTCAGGGACACGAACCCCTGCTCCACCGACACCCGCAGCACATCG